CCCCAAGCGGGGCGGGGCATGGTGAAGGGGGCGGGGCCTCTTCCCATCCCATGGGGGGGTCCCAAGCAGTGGCCCCCCGAGCCGTGAATACCACACACTGACAAATTTTCAATTATTAGTTAATTATTTGGGTTATTAGTTAATAATATTAGAGTCAAGAGGGGGAGAATGAGGCAGCCCAATGCCACCGAACCCCCCTGGGGGACCCCAAAACCGTCCCCAGACACATTCCTCCCGGCTGAGCATCCCTCACCCCAAGCTAAGCACCTGAATAATTAAAAAAGAAACGAAAAATAAAAATAACCCAAAAAAAGCCCCTTTTTGCCCCTCTGGCTCCAGCTCCCTCATTTCTAGGTGCGGTGGGATGAGCCTCCTGGCCCGGCCGAGGTTATCCCGGTCCTTGCTCCCAGCAGGGTCAGAGCTCAGAGCAGCAGCCGAGAGATTAGATGTAGCAGAGGAGGAGGTGGGGGAGGAGGGAGAGGGGGGGATTAATCCTCCTCGGCCTCGGCTTCCCCCTGTAAATCCAGCCCGGCTGCCGGGATTGCAGGAGCTGACCTCGGATCCCACCCGGATCACACCTTTCCCCTGCCAGCATCTGATCTCCGGCTCCAGCTGGTGATTCCCTCTCGGCTTTTTGGGGCAATTCACCCCATTTGAGGCAAGTCACCTTGTTTGGGGGTAATTCACCCCATTCTGGGGTGACTCACCCCATTCTGAGCACTGAGCCAGGGGGCAGTGACCCCCTCTCTTCCTCTCTCCAACATCTTGGGGCTCAACCACATCCACAGATGACATCATACCCCCAAACTCCAGGATTTGGGGCACCTCTGGGAGAAGAAGAGCAGCTCTGAGGGCACTCGCCCCAATCACATAAATTAATTAAATATCCTACACCCAGATAAAGTTAATTAAACATCTCACACCATGACAAGCCCTGGAACGAAGACCCAGTGTGAATATCCAAGGAAACTCCCAGCCTGGAGGAGGAGAAAGACATTTTGGGGAAGCCCAACCGTGTTTGCTTGATTTTATTAGGACCGACACATTCATCGTATGTCACAACGATCGATGAGCTTTGGAAAATAAAAAACCACCCGATAATGGGGCTGATATAGTGACATGCCTGGAAAAGGCATTAACCACGTCCTCCCCCGTCCCCATGTCCCTCCCCCCACCCCCCGTCCCCCCCTTCCCCATTCTCACAGCTTTGATTGTATCCATAAGCACAGTTCAACATGGAAAAAAACCAAGACATCATAATAATGTTTCCCAGCTGGCAGGTTCTCCTTGCTAACTAGAACTCCAGAAATAAAACAAACAAATAATAAAAAAAAAAGGCCAGGAATTATTTTTAATGTTAAAAATAATAAAATAATAAAAGTGGCAATGCTACGAGGGAGGTGGGAGATGTCCCAGAAACCAAAGTCTTTTGGGTTGTTTTTTTTTGCAGGCAACACTGTTTGGTGAGAAACACTTGACGAGTGAGAAAGAAACCAAAAAAGTGAAGTCCTAAATTATATACAGTATCTTTGAAAAACAGTCTCCTTGAACGTGCCCCAAGGTCCGACCTGCCATTATCTATTGCTTAATTATTCAGCTCTGTAATAACACTGACAAGAGAGACGGATGCGTAAAAACGAGACACTGTGGAATAAAGAAAAACAAAACAACAACAACAACAACAAAAAAAACAAACAGTTTTTTTTGTATGAAAACACCACGTGGACAAGCTTGTCCCATGTGGAATGTACCTACAGCCATTTCATGGGCTGGGGGCTTCTCCTGGCTGCACTGCTTCTGGAGGAAAACCAGACATGGGGATGAGCCCATGGAAAATGCCCCAGAAAAAACCAAACCTCTTCTCACCCCAAAATTCATTTCCAGGGGGAAAATCTGATGGTGAAGGGGCTGGATCTGAAAGCGTCTGGTAGCAAGATGGAAAACGGGGGCAGAAAGCCCGAATCCTTATGAAGGACGAAACTTAGTTGTTGAATTTTAAGGGGTATCCGATGGCTTTTTCCAGGCACTCTACCAAAGAGCCAGCAGAAAGAAAATCCCTCTCCACTTCCACAAATTTGATGTAGATGGATTTGGGGGAGACACCAGGCTCGACGACACAGTTCTGAGATAAAAAGTCGTTGATCCCCACCCAATCTTTGCTGAAGGTTTTGGTGTTTGCCTGAAAATGTAAAAACAGGCACTGCTGAAGAGTCCGGACCTCGGCGATGCCGAGGTAACAGTAGATAATCCGGGCAGATTCCATATCCACCCGGAGGGAGGCTTGTGGAGAAGGGATGTCCAGCTCCCCTGCAGTCTCATTGCCTGGCTCAGGCCCCCGGTGCTCGGCCAGAGGAGAAGGGGGTTTCTCGTGGCACTCCTCGTATCCGATGGCATACAAACCAGGACTTTTGGGAATCCCTCCTGGTAATAAATACTGGACGATGTTCCCACCGGTGGGTTTGGAGTGAGCAATGGGGATCCAGTCGATCTCCATGTGCAGCTCCAGGCACCTGGCTTCACTGATTGTGATCTCCAGGAATTTGTAATAAACATTTTTCCAGTTCATTTTCTGCACCCGGGTCATAATGACCCGACCCTCGGGTTTCTCCGAGTTGAAATATTCCCGGAGCCGTTTGCCCAGAGGAACCTGGGAGCTGATCTCTGCGTAGTGGTAACGGATGTCCTCCTTCCAACGGGTGTTGTAACCAATGCCAAAAATGGCCAGTTTGTTAGAAAGGTGGAGCCTGGAGAAGTCCGTCCAGCTCTGAAACAGCTCCCACTTCAACTGGACCGACTCCAAGATTTGCATAATGTTCTGCATGACATCACGCTTCCTGGGAATTGAAAAAAAACAAGGAGAGAAGGATAAAAGAGCTGCAAAACTATCCTGACTTTTGGAAACTATCACAGAATCACAGAATCACCAAGGCTGGAAAAGACCTTTAAGATCATCAAGTTCAGCCTATGACCAACACCCTCACATCTCCAGACCATGGCACCAAGTGCCACATCCAGCCTTTTCTGGAACACCTCCAGGGATGGTGCCTCCACCACTTCCCTGGGCAGTCCATTCCGATGTCTAATCACCCTCTCATGAGGAAGTGCTTCCTGATATCCAACCTAAACTTCCTCTGGAGCAGCTTCAGGCCATGCCTTCTTGTCTTGTTGCTAGTTACCTGGAAAAAGAGCCCAGACCCCACCTGAGCACAACCTCCCTTCAGGTGGTTGCAGAGAGTGAGAAGGTTCCCCCTGAGTCTCCTCCAGGCTAAACACCCCCAGCTCCCTCAGCCTCTCACTGTAAGACTTTCTCTCTAGTCCTTTCACCAGCCTTGTTGTCTCCTCTAGACCCTTTCAGCTTTCTTGGCTGTTTTTTAGGTAGGTATTTTACTATTCTAATAATAAAAGTGAGCTTATGAATTCTACCACCAGACTGATTTTATTTTTTTAATTACACTCCACAAACCCAAATTAAAACTGAACCCCAAACATCTCCCAATATCCCAGGCAAACTGCAACCCCTGCTGGAAACAAGGTTTCAAGGAAATTCTGAACCTGCCAAAGAAAATGAGAGCTGATGAATCCCTAAGTTCAGCTCCTGAGAAAGATTTTTGCTGTTACCAACCCCAAAAACACCCATGGGGAGGAAATGTCCTGCCCAGGAATGACAGTGAGTTTCCATGGAGAGACTTCCCCACAGCTTCTCCACAGAGTTAAGTAAAGTGTACATGAGGTCTTGAAGCAAGAGCAGATATGATGCCGAATCATGCAAGGAGTTGAGACTCCAGCAGCTCCATTTCTGCCCAAGAAATGGATTTGAAGGTCTCTCTTCCACCATTTTGATAAAAGGGTACTAAGAAAAAAGGTTTGGGAGCTCCAGACCCTTCCCATGGCACTGGAGAGGTCCAATCTCCAAAACCTGCTTTTGTAAGTGTAAATGCAATGCACATGATTTTGGGAAGGTTCTCCAAGGGCCTGTTGTCCTTCAGGACAGCCTGAAGGCACTGGGCTCTACATAGAGCAGGTTGGTTGGTGCACGTCAGCTCTCACACTCTTGGGGTGTCCAAGCCCCCACCAGGAGGTCTCAGGAGCCCAGGCTGGGATCACTCAGTCCTCATGGTGATAGGAGGAACCACACCCATCAGCACATTACCTCTCTGAACCACCCAGCAGCAACCATGCCAGAAGATCTCTGGACAGAGCTTCTCTCCAGCTTCCCTGATGTCTCTTCAGACCCTGAGCAGCATCAAGATGCTCAGAAAATGTTGGGTTTTGTGGGTTTTTTTTAGATTTTTGGACATCAAAGTTCATCTTCTGGGGACGGGACAGAGAAGGGGAGTGGACAGACCAGGGGACAGGGCTGTCTTGGTGTCTCATGGCAGTTCCAACTTGAGACACGACAGCTGAACTCCATGAAAAGCCAGCAAACCCATCCCAGCAGGAGGAGAAAGCAGCGTGGGCAGGTTTTCAGTCAACAGCAGAGGAACAGAGCCGAGGAGCAACAAGAGAAGCCCCCACCTTTATTAACTGCACTATAAACACTCTGCTAAGTTTAGCTCAACACAAAATAGAGCTGGTGGGGGGAAAAAGATCAAATAAAAATTAGTCACTCATCAAATTGCTCCTGCTGGGAAGAAGGATTGTTTCACTCATCATCTTGAGTAGGGGGAGGAGGGGAATCCAGCACCTTGAGACCCAAAGAAGCCACATGGAAAAAACTCCATAAAAAATCTCCATTAGCATCATCTCTTCCCGCTCTGTGTCTCTCCCAGGCTCTCCCCAGCATCTCCACCACCCACCAAGCAGAGGTCTAAGCAGCAAGAGTCAAATTGTTTCTTTTCTTTCTTTCTCGCCAGTAAAGTCAGAGCCAGCTGAGGGTCTACCCTGTGGCAGTGCTGCATCATCTCATTTTCCATCTGCAGCTGGTACCCTTGAGCCAGATTTTACCCTTCTAGGCCATTTCCCCATAAGCTTTTGCAATTCAGACAAGGAAATATCCACAAAATTATGCAAATTTGTTCCAAGTTGCCATTTCCAAACAGACCCAAGAATTCAAAGGGGCTGGAACAGGTGGTTTGGGTGAAGGACCCAGTTCTGGACTGATTCACATCTTCACAAAGCAAATAAAAATGCACCTCAGACTAATTGAAAAGCACAGGACAGGGTCAGAAGCAACATTTCACTTTTCAAAGTAGTTTATTTGGAGGCAGTAGGGGCAAATTCAAGTTCATTCCTGCAGGTTTTTGGTCAAGTTGAAAGTGACAGTAGCTTAACAGGGGTGTTTTTTAGCAGGGAAAGAAAAGCTGGAATAAAATCCAGCACCTAGAGAGCTCAGCTATATGCTTCCTATAGGAAGCATCTTAGCGACACTCTCCCACACTCTCTCTTCTGGGAAAATATATCATGATCCATTTCTCCTCCTGTGGTTTCCTGTAAACTCAAAAAAAATCCTTCCAAAAATCCTCCCAAAATCCCAGAAGAGGGATGCAAAGACAAGATTTTGAAGCTGTACACCTGCTTGGCATCACCAGGCCTCAACTGGCAGCATTGAGGTTCAGCAAGGAATTTAATCTCTTTTTTGCAGCTAATAAAAAAATCCTCAGCTCATCTTCATGTAACCATATTCCTCCTGACTTTCCATTTCAACTTGAGGGGGAATAAAAAGCCAACCAGAAAGCTCTGAAAGGATTAATCTACCAAACCTAAACCAGCTGTCCATCCATCCAACAAAACCTGGAAGATTAGATGGCCTGAGCCTCCACCTAAGGAAATTCAGGATTATTCTGGGAGGGACTTTTCACCAGGGAGAGCAGTGATAGGACAAGTGGTGATGGTTTTAAACTGGAAGAGGGAAGATTGAGGTTGGACATCTGGAATAAATTCTTCAACACGAGGGTAGGAAGGTGCTGGAGCAGGTTGCCCAGGGAGGTCGATGCCCCTCCCTGGAGGTGTTGAAGGGCAGGTCGGATGAGGCTTGTGCAGCCTGGTCTGGTAGGAGGTGTCCCTGCTCATGGCAGGGAGGTTGGAACCTGATGATCTTTAAGGTCCCTTCCAACATTCACCATTCTATGATTCTCTATGCAATTCCCTAAAGGAGAGTTTGGAAGGTAAGCTTATGCCAAAGCTGTCCTAAGGAACTGTATGCAGAGGTGATTTACACTGAAAATAAAGTTATTTTTCTCCAAGTCCTCCTCGAGTAACAAGTAGTTAGGGACCTGCTGTGCCACTCAGATCCCAACAAGTCCATGGGTCCAGATGGGATTCATCCCAGGGTGCTGAGGAAGCTGGCAGAAGAACTGGCTAAGCCACTCTCAAACAATGATCACCAGTCCTGGCTGACTGGGGAGGTCACAGATGACTGGAAGTTGGCCAATGTGACCCCATCCACCAGAAGGGCTGGAAGGAGCATCCAGGGAACTATAAGCCTGTCAGCCTGACCTCGGTGTCTGGCAAGATTATGGAGCAGATCATCCTGAGTGTCATCAAGCAGCATGGAGAAGACAACCAGGGGATCATGCCCAGCCAACATGGGTTTAGGAAAGGAAGGTCCTGCCTGACCAATCTCATCTCCCTCTATAACTGGGTGACCTGCCTAGTGGATGAGGGGAAGGCTGTGGATGTGCTTGACCTCGACTTCAGCAAGGCCTTTGACACAGTCTTCCACAGCATCCTCCTGGAGTAGCTAGCAATCCATGGCTTGGACAGGTGCACCCTTGGCGGGTCCAAAACTGGTTGGATGAGCAGGCCCAGGGGATGATGGGGAATGGAGCTGCACCTAGCTGGTGTCCGGTGACCAGCGGTGTCCCCAGGATCAGTACTGGGACCAGTCCTGTTCAACATCTTTACTGACCACCTGGATGTGGGGACTGAGTCCACCTTCAGTAAGTTCACAGATGACACCAAGTTGTGAGGGGAGCTGGAGGGTGGGAAGAAGCTGCAGGAGGACCTGGACAGGCTGGGTTGATGGGCTGAGGCTAAAGGCATGAAATTCAACGGGACCAAGTGCAGGGTCCTGCACTGTGGCCACAATCACCCCCGGCAGCGCTACAGACTGGGGACAGAGTGGCTGGAGAGCAGCCCAGCAGAGAGGGACCTGGGAGCACTGGTTGACAACTGGTTGAACACGAGCCAGCAGTGTGTCCAGATGGCCAATGGCATCCTGACTTGTATCAGGAATGGTGTGGCCAGCAGGAGCAGGGATGTGATTCTCCCTGTGCTCGACACTGGGGAGGCCTCACCTCCAGTCCTGTGTCCAGGTCTGGGCCCCTCACTGCAAGGACCTTGAGGTGCTGGAGCAGGTCCAGAGGAGACAACAAGGCTGGTGAAAGGACTAGAGAGAAAGTCTTATAGTGAGAGGCTGAGGGAGCTGGGGGTGTTTAGCCTGGAGGAGACTCAGGGGGAACCTTCTCACTCTCTGCAACCACCTGAAGGGAGGTTGTGCTCAGGTGGGGTCTGGGCTCTTTTTCTAGGTAACTAGCAACAAGACAAGAAGGCATGGCCTGAAGCTGCTCCAGGGGAGGTTTAGGTTGGATATCAGGAAACACTTCCTCATGAGAGGGTGATTAGACATCGGAATGGACTGCCCAGGGAAGTGGTGGAGGCACCATCCCTGGAGGTGTTCAAGGAAAGGCTGGATGTGGCACTTAGTGCCATGGTCTGGCTGATGTGGTGGTGTTGGTTCCTAGGCTGAACTTGATGATCCTAAAGGTCTTTTCCAGCCTTGGTGATTCTGTAATTCTGTGAGTTGCTAAACTGAATTTGCTCCATGGTCACCTTTGGGTATGGTGAAAATCCACCTGAAGTGGATTCCACGACATTGGAAGCTTCTTTTTAAATTGCTTGTAAATTTTTTGGGTCTTTTGTTTTTTTCACACACACAGTGATGACTTTCCACCCTCCAGGAGCTCATTTCCCAGCATAGGAAATCCCAAATAGTCACCAGCCAGTGCTCTGAATAATTGCCAGGGGGACTAGGGGAGTGGAAGCCACCCAGAATTTGCTGATTTACAGGATCACAGAATTACTGAGACTGGAAAAGACCTCTGAGATCATCAAGTCCAGCCCATGACCCAACACCACCACATCAGCCAGACCATGGCACTAAGTGCCACATCCAGGCTTTCCTCGAACACCTCCAGGGATTGTGACTCCACCACTTGCCTGGGCAGTCCATTCCAATGTCTGGTCACCCTTTCCATGAGGAAGTGCTTCCTGATATCCAACCTAAACCACCCATGGCCTACAATCTCCCTGCTTGTTTAAAAATCCCAAAAGTTGGAAAAAAGAAACCCTAGTCTGAGGAAAACAAAGCACAATTGTGTTATTGCTGGCCAGACAAGGGAGATTCTCCAAGCATTGGAAAAATTCTGGTATTCCTCAGATTAAACCCATCCAAAATGCCACAAGTCAGCTCTGGCAAGTTCTAAAAATAAACTGAAAAATAAAAAAATCCCAAGTTTTCTCCCTCTTGGAAGTCTTGGCCTGGGTTTTGTTTCGTGTGCTGCAGACCAAAGCCGAGGAGGGTTGGAGCTGTGGAGCCTTCCAGATGTTCTGAGGTAACCAGAATAAAACAATCAAAAAAATAAAAAAGAAGTTTCAACTGTATTAATGGTCTTGCACAATGTATTTATAATTAAAATCAGAAGTTTCATATGTCCTGCACACCATCCCCAGGGAAACACATGCCAGCCTCAAACATTCATCAATGACTTACTGCGTGTCTTCTGAAGATTCCTGCTTTATCTTTAATGTCCTTTTTGTGGGAGGCATTTCATCTGAAAGGTAAAATCCCAACACATAATTACATGTTAAATAATGTTCCTGGGGTTTTTATCTTTTTTTTTTCTCTTTTTTTTTTTCTTTTTAATGGAAATTAAATTAAAAAACAAATTAGGAGTTGCTTCCTGAGCCAAGCAGCTCACTAGAGACAGATCCAGCTCCTAAAGCCTCTCTAACTGAGCAGTATTTTTATTTCCCTTGGACAAGACATGGCCAGCTCAGATCTGAATCTCCGCAAGTGCAAAACCTTGTAAGAACCAGGCCACAATTCCAACTATTAAATCACAAACCAATTTAATTGCAAACTACATTGTTTGAAAAAAACAACACACCCCATACAACAAAACAAACAGAGAGGAAAAAAGTGGTTCTGCTTCCACCAGCACATCTGAGGAGCAAAACCCAGCACAAACCCATCTGAGTTCCATCTTATACTGTTTGCTAAGTGCTTCTCTTGTAACTTCTCTGGATTTTAAGAACCTTGGCAGCTTAAGCACATGAAAATGTCCCCGTTTTGACCAAGGGGAACAGGTGACAAAGTCAGTTTGACAGCAGAACGGGTCCAATTTGACAGAATTCACCATCATTTCCATCAGTTTTTATAACTTTACTGTCTCTCCCCCACATATTTCTGATTTTCAACCCCCCCTGGGGGAGAAATCTGAAAGAACCAGCACGTGGTTAACAGCCAACTTGCAAATTTTAACATTAAATTTTTATTTAAGCCTTTTTCAGAGCATCCCAATGCCCTGAACATGGGGCAGTGATGGCCTCTCCTCTCCCAGGAATTGAACTGGATTGATGGAGAGTTTCCACTGGGAAAATAACCCCCTTGGTCAGGCATGGGAGGAATAACCAGAGATATAAATTCACCTGAAGAAACCCACTTCTTCCCAAAACTGCTCAGATCTGTGCGCTTCTCCCATCAGGAATGTGGTACCTTGTGCTGTAAATAAGCTGCAGGCAACGACTGAATCTTCAAATTAATTAATATATTGATTCTTAGGCAGAGAAATCACTAACTGAGGGAAGAAAAGCACATGAAGGAATTTGGTTTAGGGTTCAGTGTTGGAGCTTGCTTATTGTTTTAGTTGTAAAAGGCCACACCTCTGGATATGAGCATATTTATATGCCCCCCCAAAGCACTGAATGGGAAAATATCCCCCAAAGAGAAGTAGAACAGAGCAGGTAACATGTTGCCACCTCCTCCTCTGTCATTTCTGGCCACTCAGCCCTTCCCTCCTCTCGCTGGGCTCTTTGGAAAAACGGTTTTGGTTCCCAAAACCCTTTGGGAACCACAGTTTGCTTTTGAGGATGAGCTGGGGAATTGCTTTCCCTTTTCTCATCCAGAACAGAGGACATTTGGCACCTTGAGTAACCTCATCCCAGAAATGTGGAACCTGGTGATGGAATATGTGGGATGGGTACAACCACAGGGAGAAATAGGGGATGGAGATGAGCCTGGGTGGGATTTCCTACCCAATTCCTGCTCGCCGGTCTGGTAGCAGTGAAGCTCCTGACTGTGGTTTCCCCAGTCCTCCTGTGAATACTCCTCCATTGTGCTTCCATCTGACTCCAGCTCCTGGTACAAGCCACTGCTGTTGATGAGGACAGGCTGGCAGGGCTGGGAGTCCCATCCCCCTTGCCCAAAAACCTGCTCCAGCTGCTCAAAGGTGTAGCTGCTTTTCCTCTTCCCCACACCATGCTCCTTCACGCGGCTGTAGCACCTGCGAAGGGTCTGAGACAGAACAAAAACCCACATGGATCAGGAGGCATCAGGGTGGGAGAGCTCCCAGACACTTGCAGACACTCACACAGTTGAGTTTAGGGTTGGTTTTTGCT